GTGGCTTTGTGGTGTCCACACACTCCCTGCAGGAGGACAGGGAGCACACGCCCAGACGGGGATTACTTTGAATTTATTCTGAGTCAAAACCCCTGTCTTGGCCCTAGTCCTTCATCTGTTCCTACACCTGCATCTCCTGGGCAGCCACATGTGCCCACGGACCACAAAGTGCTCAGGTTCCCTCCTCCAGAGGACACCTCCCGGCTGCCCCTGCAGCGGGGGTGTGGGACAACCAACCCCAGCCCTGAGGATCTTCACCCCACCACCCCGAGAAAGCATCCCCGTATCCCTTGTGCCTTCAGAAACCCCCCGGCTGCGGGAAAACACCTTTGCCGGTGCCCCCAGGGAGCTGCAGAGACCTGAAAGAGCAGCGAAGCAGCACGACGAGCCCCACCCGAACACCTCAGAACCCCCCCGGGACTGGGGGAAGGCTCCAAACCCCCTGACGGGTGCTCGGGGCCGCGATCAGTCAGTTCAGAGGGATTTGGGGAAGCTCCACCAGGGGCAGCTCCCCGGAGGTGCCTTTGCCGAGAGCTCGGCACACTCCGCGTCCTGCTGACACACGCGGTCCCGGCCGAGCAGGAAGAATCGATGGATATCCCCACGCTTCTCCCTGACCCACACACGTTTCCAAGCCATCAGGGGCATGCACGGGGAAGGGACAGCTCACGCTGAGCTCCTTGCGGAGAGACACCGCTCTCCCCTCGCATTTAATCCAAACGCCCTTTCCCCAGCCCACATCCTCGCTGTCTACCCACGAGACAAATGCTGCCAACTCCGAAGAGGAGCGTGTTTGCCCCACTGCCCTCCCCGGGTCAACCTCTGCATCCAAACGCTGCTTTCGGGAGCTTTTTAGCAAGCCAGAAAAAGTCCAACGTTAAAAAGCCCATCGTTACCTGACACAAGTTGGGCTCTCCAGGTGGGACCCAGCGCAGACTCAGCTTCCCTCTCGGAGATCTCCCATCCACGCCGGAGCCCTGCAGGGAGACGGGTCCCCTCGGCAGAGCTCAGCCCCTTCCGCAGAAACGCGGGGGGAAGCACAAAAGCATCCCCCTTTATCCTCCCTGGCGGGGAGGTGGGAGAGAAATCCGCTTTTGTTCCTCCTGAATGACATGCCAGGGAGCTGCTACAGGGCATGAGCCGCGCAGCTGTCAGCGACAGCCAGGGAGGAGCCGGCACGCAGGGAAAAGCCAGCCCAGCTCGGGGAAAATACGGCACCCAGGGCAGCTTAGGAGGGCCGAGCCATCTGGAGAGCAAACTGAGGTCCAGGTGGAACGATTCATTTCATGGAGATTCCGCCTTGCTGGAAACGCCGCTAAAGCCGATAAATAAAACGCGGCTGAAAGGAAGAGCAGAAAGACGGGTGGAGCGGGACCGGGCTGGGTCAGGGAGGAGCTGCATCCCCCTCATTAACGGGGGATAATTAGGTAATTATGGCCCCGAGGATGGTGAGGACAGAAGGGGAGCTTTGCCCCGTGTGGTTTTCGCACCCTCCCCTCTAACTCGATCCCAGTTGGGTGGGTTTTTAAATGCTCCTGGCAGGGATCAAAGCAGCCCTGGGGAAGCTCCACAGAGTCCCCCTTGTGCCGAAGATTGTCACAGCCCTAAGGTGGCACAGCCCAGCCTTCCCTCCCCTGCCCAGCATCGCTTTGAACAACCTGTATTATTCTACACTGGACAAAAGAGAAATATTAATAAACCTGCGTGTTGTCATCCCGGTGAAACTGCCTTTCCGTGTTTCCTGGCCGGGTCCTTCCCGCCCCTCTCCCATCGCTGGGATGTAGGGCACAAGCTGGCATCCTGCTTGCTCCCAGCATTTGCATACGAATCCCTGGCAACCTGGAAGGGACTGTGGTTTCCCAGCCAGCACAGAGGGCTCTGAGGGTTGTGGGATTTGCTCTCAGGATCTCCCACCCCGATGGAGTTGGCCCTACCAGGCTGCACTGCCCAGGGCTGGATGGAGCACGGGGATGGCAGCTGGAGACGACCAGGAGCAGGTCGCTGGGACAAAGGGAAAAGCCCTCTAAGATCACAGACTCCACACCTTGTCATAGAGAGAGTCAAGACAGCCTCCTTTCCCCCTCAGCCATTCAGCAGATGGGAAGGGCTGTCACCAACCTCCAGGAGAAGAGACAAAGAACGAGAGCCAAGAAAAGGAGTAAGGGCAGAGACATAACTAGGACAGAAACAGGGCCCAGAAGGAAGAGAGGGAGAAAATTAAGAGCCTTTAGAGGAAGGAAAAAACCCCATCTTGGTTTCCTGTTTCACATATGGTCAGTACTCACATGGAATTCGAGATTCAGTCAGGAGGTTCAGCCAAGAAGAGGTTGTTGCACCAAGAGTCCAAGAGAAGAGGCACCAGCCTTCAGCCTCGTGCTGCTGCTGCTGCTCCCACCATGGCTGGGCTTTTCCTGCTGAGACAGGGCTTCCAAAGCTCCCAAGCATCCCAGCACATTAAGGCTGTGGAGATCCTTCTTGTGGCAGCTGTGTGAGCCTTGGCCGTGGCCACATCAGCACCCCTTCCCAGCCCCCAGCTCTGGCAAATTTAAAGGACTGGAAAGGTTCCCAGACACCACAAGAACCACCCCAGCTGAACCACTAAGCTCCTATTAAAGAGGGCAGTTTTAGAGAGAGGGGAAAAAAAAAAAAGGAGTTCAATAGTACAGTGTTGGCTGTCCCAAGGCCTTTGGGCTTTGGGCCAGCAACCAACCCTCAGCTCCTTTATTTGAGTGACAGACACACAAATGAGACAGGACTCTCATTTCTCCCCTTTCTGCTTTCCCCTGTCTTTCCCTGGGGTACAGCAAGGACAGCCCCCAGTCAGGGATTATCCAACACTGTGGATATCAGGAGCTCTATCCCTTTCCCTAGGGCAGCTTTACATGAAACACTCAATTATATCCCCAAAGCCATGGCACAGGACTGACTACCCATCAACAAGCAGGGAGACAGGGCTGTGTTTGCTTTAATCCCTTTCACAACCACTTAAGTGTAGTTCGCATCCAAGGGCCAAAATTGAATACGGACGTAGATTCCTCCCTCCCTTACCCACAAACAACTGCCCTTCCTGCCAGGAAGAAAAGCCCTGACCCTCCATCTCTCACCTGCTGTTGGTGCAGCACTCTCAGCAAAAAGTGTACAGCAGGAGCTTTCTGGGTGGGCACCTTTGGTCTGGGAGGAACCAAGGGTCCAGCAGCCCTTGGCCCCAGGACAGAAAGCCTGGGAGCTTTGGCTTTGAGGTGCAGTTGGTGGGGCAGCCTGGGCACTCCGTGGGCAGCCAGAGCTTTCTGTGCTGGCCCCTTTTCCCTGGGAGGAATCTTCATTTGGATGGGTTTTGGGGAAGGGGGGGGGCCGGCACTGGCAGCCCGGGGCTGACCAAAGGGATCAGCAGCCCTTTGCCCAGGACAGAAAGCCTGGGAGCTTTGGTTTTGAGGTGCAGTTGGTGGGGCAGCCTGGGCACTCCGTGGGCACCCAGAGCTTTCTGCAGTGGCACCTTTCCCCTGGGAGGAATCTTCATCCCTGTTCAATTCTGGGAATCGGACTGGCAACACAAGCCAAGTCACCGGCAGAATTCTGGACGTTTGGTCTCCTCAGAGCGCCCACGGCAAGAGGAAAAAGAACATTTGCTTCACTGTCCCGAGGACGGAAACAAACACAAAACCACGCCACCAGACTGAGCAATTCACAGAGTTGCTGTTTCCAGCCCAGCTTCCCAAAGGATTTCTCTCTCCCGGCAGCAGCAGCAGCGACACTCCCCGGGAAGCTCTGACCGAGGCTGAGAATTGACACACAACAAGCCAAGAGCATTAACTCGGCCCCAAAACACTCCACAACAAACCAATTTAGAGTCACCTTTGGGATTCCAAGGCAAACCCCGAGGGGCCCAGAGAGCAGCAGCCCCTCAGCCCCACCACGGCCTCCCCCGGGGTCCCCCGGCTGGGAACTGGGCTACCCAGCCCCTGCTGTGCAGCACAGCACGCGGGGGGGATGACTTTTGGGACCCCTCCCTGGCCGCTGCAGAGCAATGCAGGCATCGGGGCCAAGTCCTGCCCGGCCCCCAGGCACTGCAGACAGTTCAGCCCCAGCTCCAGCAGCAGCAGCCGGGGCTGTTCTGCCTCTTGCTCCCCCTCTCATTGGGAACCGAACGGTGAGGAACAAGCCCCGAGCAGACACGAGGCCCCCGGAGAAGCCAAGGGGAGCTGGGATTCCCTGGAGTCCCAGGGAACCGAGGGGAAGGTGGGAAAGGGGCAGAGAGCAAACCCCCCCAGCTGCTTCTCCCTGCAGCCCCCACGGCAGGTGCAGCAAACACACACCGGTGTAGAGTTTTTAGGAGAGCTTTAAAATAAACTAAAAAACAATCAGTTTACCGAAAAATCCTTCTGCAGTCCGCACTGAGTCTGACAACTCAGATTGCTCGCTAAGAGAATTACCTGATTTAGAACAACTAAGTCGTAGAACCTCAGTGCTCATCAAAGGGATTCACTGGCACGAAAAAAAAAACCAACTGCAAGTAGCGAGACCCACATCGCAAATCACTCTTTGCTTTAAAAACAAACAGAAAAAAGAACCCAAGACACCAAAACAGAGCTGTGAGGGGAACCAAAACACATCCAGATAAGAACTAGTAATCGTAAGCTCTCACCTGCAGGAGCTTTAGCTTGTGAACGGTTCCAGCTCCCACGTCGGGCGGGGTTTGTGATTTTAGCAGACCCTCAGCTGCCCGGCAAGGCTCGTGTCCCACCTGAGAATGCTGCTTTCAGCCCAAATTCAGGTCTGGAAGCAATACGTGACATAGCAGAGGACTGGATAGAAGGACCTACTGCTGCCACTCCCCTTGGAGCAGAAGCCACTGGCTGTGGGCAATTCCCACCTGAAAAAACCTTGGGGGGAAAAAAAAAAGACAAAAACGTCAAGAACTTTATGCTACAGGCTCCATCCATCAGAGCTTGAAAAAGAAGTCATAAAGGAGAAAACAAGCAGCAAATGATACCCCAGTGTTAAAGAGGCTTTTTTGAAAAACCTTTAAGAATTATAAACCTGAGGTAGAAATAAAAAAAAAAAAAGAAAACACAAAACCAACCAAACAAGAAAACCCCTTATTAAAAAACAACCCACGACAATAGAGAAAGGTTTCTTGTCTGTAAAGAGTAAGCAAGTTAACACTAATGCCCCATGAAAAGGACTTTAATGCCACAAGCCTTCCACTACACATGGATCAAGACAACAGGTCCAGCACCTGAACAGCCTCTGCCTTCCCCACAAGCAAGTTTTTACTTCAGACTTGTCCAGGCGACAAAATTCACGTTGTTGTTGGGACATCTCCCGCACTCACCGGTACATTCTCCTCCTGGGGCAGAGCTGCCTTTCTCCTCCCCAGGCGCTCTGGCAGCTCCCTGACGCGCTTCTCCAGCACCGCCGCCTCCTAGCTGCGCTCCTTCCAACGCTGCCTCTGGTGCTGCAGCCCGGCGTTCTGCTCCCGCTTCACTTTGTTCCTCAGCTGAAGAAACGCACCGAGCAGCGGGGCAGGAGGGGAAAGCAAGGCAAAGAAAAACAAAGGAACTTTCAGGCAGGCAGCCACACGGGCCCGGCAGGAACGGGAGCAGTGGCATTTCTTTGCAATGAGCTCAGAGAAGGACCCGACCGGCTCT